GCTTTAGATAAGACGTTAATGGAAAAAACCAGCGATTCTTGTGTTCGTGATTCCTTAAAGTAAAAACGTTTTCTATACAAAAAAGCCTGCCTCTATTAAGCAATACAAACATAGTGATATATGTAATTACTGAAATCTGAGAAGCCCAGAGTAATTGATATATGTAATTACTGAAATCTGAGAAGACCATTATGGAAAAGAATAACAGCAACAGTTTAAGATAATATATATTTTTGGATATTAAATATAAAAGCTTGATAGTTGAAATGTTGGATTTTTACTGTGAAAAGATCCCTTACTAGTAAAGAGACAAACAGACCGTTGAAATATTTTATTTTTACTGTGAACAAACCCTTCACTGGTAAAGAGACCAACAGACCGTTGAAATGTTTGATTTTTATTGTGAACGGACACGCTATTGGTAAAGAGATCAACGGACTGATGAAGTATTTGATTTTACTATGAACAAACCCTTCACTGGTAAAGAGACCAACAGACCGTTGAAATGTTTGATTTTTACTGTGAACGGACACGCCATTGGTAAAGAGACCAACGGACAGATGAAATATTTAATTTTTCTGTGAACAAACTCCTCACTGGTAAATAGACCAACAGACCGTTGATATGTTTGATTTTTACTGTGAACGAACCCCTTACTGGTAAAGAGACCAACCACCACATTTAAATGACACAAAACGATGAAGTAGTATAGCAACTTCAAGAAAGAACATGACAAGTGAAGTCAGTACAAATAATTAATAAATGATAGCATGGTGAATACACTGGAATGTTTATCGTAAAGACAAAGTAAAATAAAAGTTTTCATTTATTTTTTACTTCCACCGTATTGTTATTTGCTTATTTTAACTAAAATTACTCAGTACGATCTTTATTAAAAAAAAAGAAGTCAAGTTTACATTATTATTCAGCACGTGCACGGGTTTCTTAGCGGGATTTTGTCCAGGAATGAGAAACAATGAGCGTATACACCAGTAAGTTTGCACTGTTGTGATTGTTTAATTAAGCAGTTTATTTATGTTGTATTAAAACGATTTATCTTTTTTTCCTTAATTCTTAGGTTTGTGTAACTTGATGGGATCCTTCGTAGGAGCTTATCCTAGTACCGGTAGCTTCTCACGGTAGGTAATACGGAAACGTTACCAAGAACTGTACAATATTGTCTACAACAGTTCATGACCAACTCACCGTGACGTAACAAGTTGTACAGTTGAATATTGTTGTTCTGTTAAATAAGCAGGTTACCGTTTATTGTCTATCTAAGCATTCTAAGGAGTAAACAGAAAACGAATTTATCTAAAGGAACATACTGAGTTTGTTTGTCTTGAGCACAACGTGTTCGCTGCAGAGATCAAATCCTTAATTTTAGCGTTATAATCTCTCGACTTTATCTTTCAGCCACACGATAAGGGTTGGGGCAACGTATTCAGAAACAATGCCGACATTATATAAAGCACCTTCCCACTAACTGTGATATTGGAAACTATCGTTAACATACAAGGATGGTTTAGTCGCTCTAAAGACGACACTTAACACACTAGAAAGGAGAATTACACGTTTACAATACAAAAGAAATAATTCGAGTATTAAACACATTAATTATGTATATACATATATATATATATATATATATTACTTAACAGTTTCTCGGCAGCTGGTTTAGTCAGTTTGATGTATCGGTTCAATTCGAAACTGCTAAAAGGCTGTCGAATATAACAATTAAGAAAATTATATTCTAAACATGACAGCTGTGAAATATTAAAATAAGATTCAAAAATACAACTAAATTGATTACTTTATATTGTGAACAATTTGTCATCGCTTAAAAGAAAGATATAAAAAGTAACACTGGCAGTTGATTGACAAGCAGAATGCTCTCTCATTTTAATGTAGTTTTACTAATACCTGTCCGAATATTAACAAAAACATCTGCAGTCCTTTAACATACAGTTTTACTAATACCTGTCCGAATATTAACAAAAACATCTGCAGTCCTTTAACATACAGTTTTACTAATAACTGCTCCAATCTTCAAGTGATACTTAAGGAAGGACAGATCCAAACATTTTGAGGAACACTGATGATTAGTTAAAGTTGTTGTATATATATCAATATGGAATAACCACAGATTAAATAAAAATGACGAGTTAGGTTTCAACTAGCTCTAGTTATTATATTGTACACGTTGGCCGGTAAAGATGTATCTGGTTTGAAATACTAGAAAAAATCTGGAAACTATTTATATAAACATATTTATTAAACATTAGAAACTGTACTTATTTTAATGCTAAAATAACTACACTACAATTTAATATTTCTACTTGTATAGTCTTTGAGTAAGTATTTTAATATAGACTGGAAACATTATACATATTATGCCAAAAGTAAAAAGCTCACAGTATCAGTGTAAAGATAAACCTCCAGCCTTAACTAACTTATGCTTTATGAACTAAAACGAAATATAATTTAATTATTAGTACAATATACGCATGTTTAACCATGGTTGGTTTCACTTACACTGAGTTACTTTCCGAAATCGATCTTTAAACTATCTCAGGTTCAATAGTGTAGTCGTTGGTAGGTTATACGCTTCGTTGTCTCTACCCTAGTTTCGTGTAGCACCAAGTCGTAATGCGCAGGTTTTGACGCAGCTGTAGATTTGAAAGTTTGGAACTGTACTATGACACTGTATATTATACTGATTGTTTTAAGAGAGAATAACAATGTTTCTTGAGGAATAGTACCGACTTTAAAGTTAGCGCGACGAAAGAAGTTCTTTGTAAGGAACGTGAGATAGAGAAAAGTCATTACAATTTTTCAATTTAGTTTATGGGCCGGGCGTGACGTGTCAGATTATGAGTCGGAAGGTCTATGGTTTGCGCTCCTTTGCCCCCCAAAATGCTCTCCTCACTTTGGGGCCATGGGTGCTTTATAAAAATGAAAGTCCAAATACATTATTCTTTTAGAGTAGCCCAAGAGTCGGTAGCGGGTACTGCTGACTAGCTGCCTCTCCTCAAGTCCATCAGTTCGAAATTAAAGTTAGTGAACTCGAGCGAAGTTAGCCTTTATGTAGATATGCTAGAACTTTCGAAAGAATTAAACAAACACTTTAGTTTAAATATGTAGATTCTTTCCTAATTTAAATAATCATTTTCTTCCTGACAACTTATATAACTTGACTCTTTAAGTACGGCTCTTGCCATATAGGATATCCGAGGTAGACTAGCTGTGTTCTATGAGTATTATTATGTGACGTGCATAAAGTATGCAATAGTTACTATGGTTTTAGCTATTACATGTGTTCTATAAACCACTAGTAGGTACTATAATACTAGTTATCTTCTAGAAAGTGGAGTTTTAACTAAAAGATTCAAATGTAGAGATATTTCCACAGGAAAATACTTCACAGATTTGTAATAGTGGTTAATGTTTATAAAAATGGATCTTACACGTGAATGTAATTAATATAGCTTAAATATATGTTTTATGTGTACAGGTCTGCAATAAACAACAGCAGCGGAGTTCGAACACCTCTTTCAGGAATTTTCACAGGTGAAATGAAATGTTTTCTTGTTTTAATAGCAGTACATTGTCAGCATTTTATTTTCTATATGAAGAATACTTTATTTTTATTGTTGTGGTGATCTCTATTAAATTTCTTTATTGTGTAACTTAATTTACGTGTTTGTCAGTCTCTAAATTTTGGATATAGTGGTTAGGTATCGAACTATGGCTCAAAGGGTTCGAGGTGAGAAACATGATGTCGTTGAACACGCTCCTTAGCTATGAACGCGTTATAATAGTGACAGTCAGTCCGTTATTTGGTTTAAAGAGCCGGATGAAGTATCTGTGGCGGCGAGTACTGTTGATTGTTTGCCATCCCTCTAGGCAGTAGTTCAAAATTAGAAACGTTTATACCTGAACTCTAGGTGGCTCTGAGCTCGCTAGTTAGTCCACTTGTGCATAAAGTGTTTTGATTGTAAGTTCCAGCTTCAATCACGTTATCTGGTATGAGTAGATATCTAGTCAACTAGTGATGTTGGCTTGTTGCACTTCCCCCGAGTAGCTGTTACAAATTAGAAACGGTTAAGCCTGAATCTTAAAGTTCTACGACTGGTTGTTTAGCCGATGCATGATATAAAGCACCTTTCAAGGTTAAAATACAAAATACTTTAAACTGTCTTTCTTAAGCAGAGAAACCATTAATATTCATAGTAATCAATTATTATTCCTCCTAATTATGCTGAATTATGTTGAATGCTTTGCTTCTTTATTCACTGTATAATACCTCACAGCTTAATTAATAACTCATATTTTATCTCATGGACTGCTTTACAATACCATGTTCTACATCTCATTTCGTATATTACTATCAAACATCTTGCTCAACATCTTATCCTATACATCACAAACAATTGCCTTGTTCTACATCTTGTGTTATGAAATATCATCAAATGTCTTGTTCTACATCTTTTTTCATAGGCTACTATCAATTGTTTTGCACAAAATATCATCATATAGACTACTATCGAATACCTTGTTCAACATTTCATCTTCTATACTATTATAAAATATTTTGCTTTATATTTCTTTTTAAATTATCATGTGTAGTTGTACCAGAATGGGCATATACACTTAATGGAATATACAGTGTATATGTGTAGTGGAATGTTCAGTGTATAGGTATCGAAAAATATTAATACTATGTTTGTTTAGGGAATGTGCGTATCTGTAGTGAAATGTGCAGTTTGCATGTGTAGCGGAACAGCCATTATGTATATGCAGTGTAATGACCAGTGTATGTATGTAGTGGAGTGTGCAGTATGCGTAGTGTTATTGAGTGGTAGAATGTGCACTATCCACGTGTAATGTGATTTGCAGTCCTTTACTTTTGTTTACTTATGTTTAGAAGTTGTGGATAATTAATTCTGTCTTTGTTAACTAATAAATTATTACTGGGTATTACGTGACTATCCACGTGTAATGTAATTTGCAGTCCTTTACTTTTGTTTACTTATGTTTAGAAGTTGTGGATAATTCATTCTGTCTTTGTTAACTAATAAATTACTAATAGGTATTACTTTGGTTTAGTGTACAGTAAAAAAAAATAATGTTAAACTATTCAAACTTAATTTCCAGTTAAGTGAATATATATCTGTATCAAACACCAGCTTGAAATACCCAAGTCGTTTTTAAGTAAATCACAATTTACATTTTTCTTTTCTCTGTCAAGATTAGGAGGAATAGTGATCCTGGCTCTTGCTGTTCTTGCTCCCTACTTCAAGTACATTCCTAGTGCTTCGCTCAACGCAATGATATTTGCTGCTGTAATCTTCATGGTACATTATCACGACGTGATCATTATATGGAAAACACAAAGTAAGAGTTTCGACAAGTGCGCTAGGTCTCTTTTTGTGATTGGAATACACTAAATATACCACAAGATTTTCTGAATTAAGAAAGTAAATGGGTAGTAGATGGAATACACCAACTATACCACAATATTTTCTGAATTAAGAAAGTAGGTGGTTAGTATATGGAATACAACGACTATACCACAAGACTTACTGAGTTAAGAAAGTAGGTGGTTAGTATATGGAATACACTAACTATACCACAAGACTTACTGAATTAAGAAAGTAAAGAGAATGTAGATGGAATACAACAACTATACCACAAGACTTACTGAATTAAGAAAGTAAAGAGAATGTAGATGGAATACAACAACTATACCACAAGATTTTCTGAGTTAAGAAATTAAATGGATAGTAGATGGAATACACAAACTATACCACAAGACTTACTGAATTAAGAAAGTAGGTGGTTAGTATATGGAATACATCGTTGTATTCCATCTATTATCCACTTACTTTCTTAATCAGTAAGTCTTGTGGTATAGTCGTTGTATTCCATATACTATCCACCTACTTTCTTAATTCAGTAAGTCTTGTGGTATAGTCGTTGTATTCCATCTACTATCCACTTACTTTCTTAACTCAGTAAGTCTTGTGGTATAGTCGTTCTTAATTCAGTAAGTCTTGTGGTATAGGTTTTACGTTGTTTCCTTTTCCACAACTGTATAGCGTTAACTTTCTATCGTTGTAAGTCTTTCATTACAACCCTATTTTATACTCAATATTAATATAATGTTTCCTAAACACTGGTCAAATAAAATATGTCGATAATCTACACTTGTTTTACTTGAATAATTATTTTCTCCTAACGTGAAAACCTCTAAACATATTATGGTGTTAACTTTTAGGCTTTTTACATCATGGTTTTTCAATAAGATTTAGGTGTTACAATAAATAGGTTATTATCCGATAATTTAGCACACACTTCTTCAACTTTACTTTGTATAATGGAGCATGTGTTAAGTCTATTGACGTAGTTAGTACAATTCAAATACAATCGTCTTGTATTCTAATTCAGTAAGTCTTGTGGTACAGTTAGTGTATTCCATCTACTATCTTTTTACTTCTTCATTTAGTAAGTCTTGTGGTATAGTTAGTGTATTCCATCTACTATCTTTTTATACTATCCTTTCTACCTTGAATAGGTGTACACTTTGTATAATACACAAAAGTTACTCCATCTAACATTGAAGATAGCTAGTAATTTTACTAGTCCACAACGTTAAAACAGTAACTTTTGTGTATTATATAAAGTGTACACCTATTCAAGATAGAAAGGATAATATTTAACATTGAAGATAGCCTGTAGTTTTATAATTCTTACTTGGTAAGAATGTTAACATTGATATAAACTTAAATTATAAATCTAACGCTGATTATGATAAAACTCTACTTTACAAATCTTATTTGTGTTTTTATTCTTTACAGAACGAGACATACTTCCATGGGCGTCAACTTTTGTAACATCTTTTATTCTTGGTCTAGAGGTGAAACTATCAGAAATAAAGATTTCTCTTCGAAACATTCAAATAATGAAATGATGATTTTAAAGTGTGTGAAGATATACTATAAAACTATTACAAACGAAACAACCTGTAATGAGAGAACGTACCTACTGTACACAAAGATTCGTGACATTGTAAAGTGTATTATTATTATTAAAGATAGGGTCTTGCATTATTACCAGAAGTCATAGTAGTACATTGTTATCTTCCTCATCCTTTTTTTTGTTGTTGTTGTTGTTGCAGTAAACAGGGATTTACAACATTTCGATTTTATCAATATTCAGGATAGGAACGTGTGTCATGGCAGTATACTGTTACCCTCCCCACCCCTCTTCTTACTGTAAACATAGATTTGTAACACTTTTAAAGTGTATTGTTATTAAATATAGGACTGAGCTTTATTATCAGAAGTCATGGTAGTGTACTATTACATTTCACACCCGTATTCTTACTGTAAGCATAGATTTGTAACACTTTTAAAGTGTATTATTATTAAACATAGGACTGAGCTTTATTATCAGAAGTCATGGTAGTGTACTATTACCTTCCACACCCCTTTTCATACTGCAAACATAGATTTGTAACATTTTAAAGTGTTATTAATAATAGCAGTCATGACAGTGTACTGTTACCCTTTCCACACACCCTTATTAATGTAAACAGGGATTTGTAACAGTGAGGTTTTTCTATTAAAAGGCTATCGACTGATTGAAGTAAGAGAAATAACGGTCATTTTTCTATCGACAGTATGGAATAATGCTTGGAGTCGGGGTTTCTGTGATGATGTTGCTTTATGGAATGGCAAGTCCGAACATTACGACTCAACTACAACGGGTAACGTTGTAATTTTCATTGTTATCGAACTGTTGGTACAGTAACTTTGTATATATATATTATATATTGTTACTCTTCTGAGTCTAAAGTGAAAAATATACAAAGAATACTCTGATGCATTTTTAATAACAATAACCTCTGATCAAAGAAAACTAACTGCATAGACCAGATATAAAAATATTTGTATGCAGGTTTATCGAAGAGTATGTAATGTCATAAAACAAAAACTTATAACGTTCAGAAAGCTATGATTCATTTGGTTTCGTGGCTGTTGTAAATATTGTCGGCCGTAATGTCAATAATATCACACGAAGCTCAGCCAGTTTAGAAGATTTAGGTTAGTCCTACGTTCACGTGTTAAGCTAAAAATAGAAAATAATCATCGTAAGAATAACATATGTATACATATTAAACATTATAACCAATGCTATCAATAAAAGTAACTTTAAAGAAAGCATGGAATATAACTTTACTTAATAAACACATAAAAACCTAGAAACATGACACCAGTATATGCAAAAGTAATTATATAACCTATATATTAATTTATAAAATAATGTAAACAGTGAGTACACAGCACTTAACCCAAAAAACGAACAACAAGAACAAAGAAAACAACAATAATCGCTTCTTCGAGGGTTAAGTCCCTAGAGTTTTTATGTGACAACATCACTTCTTCTAGGGTTAAGTCCCTACAGTTTTTAAGTGACAACATTGCTTCTTCGAGGGTTAAGTCCCTAGAGTTTTTATGTGACAACATCACTTCTTCTAGGGTTAAGTCCCTACAGTTTTTAAGTGACAACATTTGACTTCTTCGAGGGTTA